TTGGAATCCTGGCGTCAAGATGGCGAGCTCGCGGAACGAGCGCCACAGGTCCCGCCCCCCCGACGGATACCCGCGCCCTTATCTACCCCTATTTAGCTACGTATATAAGCCTTATTGTATCTACTGTGTACGGCACGCGTTTGCACCGGCCAAACGCGAATCCCATTTGTGCCCGCTTGCCCTCGAACTTCTACACCTTGGCGTCAGCAAATTCGTCGGGAGAAGTTTCTGCTTCGGCATCGAATATTCGTAGACATGCTGAAGGGATATACAATCAGGCATCCTCCGGATTTGTTTGCAGTGAGTCGCCCAACCCGTCGCTGGTCCACCGGAGAGAGGCATGGATTGCTGAGGGGCTGTCGACTGTATAGCGACTCCCGATCAAATAGGCGCAAGACAATTTTGGTCGGTGTGAGCTTCAGGACTATGTAAGCACCTCCGTCAGTTACCTCTAGTGCTGGTTATCCATGCGGACGGTGCTCGAAAGGCTTCGAGATCTCGAGGCAGGGCACTAAAATCCGCTGCCTCAATGCACCGCATTGAGGTCATCACGGTCGTCCCCATGCACCTGTATGTTCTGCATCCCTGAATATTGCCCCTTTCTGATGATGATACGTCGTATTTACCTTGCCTGTCTCCGACCGTATCACCTATACCGCTTTCATTGCCTCGCCTACGTTGCGAATCGCCCCACTTTGCTTGTCTGCATGCACCTTGCCTGATTGTCTGCTTGCACCTTGCCTACTTCAATCTCCTCTGTTTCATAGCGAAGAACCTCACTTTCCCTATGGACCTGAATTCGATCGATCACGATCGCTCTCTCAAGGCGAAGGCAGGTCAGCCAGATGCTCCAGACGATGAACGAGGGTAGACGAACCTGCGTTAGGACCCAGTGACTGGTACGCCTGAAGCTCGGTGGATTCCCTGGTATTGGGTGCAAAGCAGAGCGTATGAACTTCTTTCCCTCGAAGCGGCGCTGATCCCCGTCTCGTCAGTGTATTCCTACGTGGAGGGGCTTTTCTCCCAATACTTCAAATCTGCAACGCCCCGTCAACCCCTGGCCGAACACCTACCCTTCCCCATTAGCTATAGCTCGACTGTACTGACTGGACGAGCAGCATGTGCCTCTCCGCCGGGAACTCGCTCAAACCCAGGCCACCGTCTAGCTTGACTTAGAGCGTAAGGACAAGCAGGGCAATGCGGGTGCACACAAATCATACGCCAGGCCGAGATCAATCAGTCCTCGAGGCAAGCGTCGCCAAAGAGACTAGTCACACTCAAGTCGCCGAGAGCCGGCAAGAGGAGCTCTCGACCTCCGTTCGCAGGTCTCCAAAATCTCTACAAGCCTCGCCGGAACTCAAGTCGTAGGGTCGCCGTTCAGACTGAGAGAAAGCTGAGTCTTGAGTTCAGGCCCGTGATTCGTGAGCACAAGGTACTGCTCGGTCTGGTCATCAGGCACCGTCTGACCGTCAGCAAGCTAGTCGCGCTCACTTTCTGTGCTCGTTTGAGTCGTAGCTCGAATTCCTCCGCTCTCATGCGATGGGCGTCGACGATCAGCTTACAGGTGTTCAAAAGGCCAAGGTGGTTTGTGATCGCATACCTTCATCTCGTAACGAGATCAGACTTTCCTCGCGTATCCAGAGTCTGGAATGTTAGCCTGTCGGCGCACGCTCTCAATATGCGGATTCGAAGACGCTGTTTTCCACTTCGACCGTGATCGGCTTGTTCTTAACCTTTGGTTCGAGACTCAGGGAGCGACCAAGTAGACGAAGCTCGAGGAGACCGCATCGAAGTGTAAATCGGACGCAAACCTTCTGGACGTGAAGGTACACGAGTAGGCCAAACAGCTCGAGGCGAAGTAGGATCAGACCATCGTCGGACACGTCCACATCCTGAGATAGGTGAAGCCACGGTAAGTCGTATAATATCCTTGACGGTACGTGCAGTGTCCCTCTCTCCCTAGGGGTCGCTAAGGACGCTTGGTTGTACTCGTGGTCGTGGAAAGTATTCGAACGCCCGTGTTTAGGCGCCCATTGACCGCTCCTCCTCTTGGTCCTGTAAGTAGTATAAGTAGACATATCTCTACCGTAATTGAGGTATATATTGCTGTTATTGTCAGGAACGTGTGCACACCATGTGATAGGAATATGATCTCTATCTTGAGCCAAACTAGGCTCAACAAATCTCAGCGTGCTCAGTGAGCATGAGCAGAACATTTGCTATTCTTAGGTGCTGGGAATTGATCAGCATACCTCCATATTCTTGCACATATATCTAGCCATAGAGGAGGGTTTATATCATTAGTGATTGCTAGCTTTTGACC